AAGTTACGCGTCGTTTTTAACGCCTCGTGCAAAACGACGAACGGCACGTCGCTTAACGACCATCTGCTGGTCGGACCGAAGTTACAGCAAGATCTCCCCGCTATTCTGCTGCGCTGGCGGCAGTGGCGTTTTGTTTATGCAGCAGACATCGCCAAGATGTTCCGGCAAATCCTCGTGAATGATCTCGATACCGACTTCCATCGAATTCTCTGGCGTCCGTCCTGCGACACGCCGATCACGCATTTCCGGCTTTTGACCGTGACGTACGGGCTCGCTCCCGCTCCGTATCTCGCGATGCGCGTTTTGAAACAATTGTCGTTAGACGAAGGGTCCGACTATCCAGCGGCCGTCCAGATACTACGCGACTTCGTCTACGTCGACGACGCGCTATTCGGTGGAGATGACGTCGCGTCGCTGATAGAACAGGGTGGCCAGCGAACCTTGAATCCTTGAAAACCGGGAAAAACCCGGGAATAGAAAAAACCGGGAAAAAACCGGGAAGAAACCGGGGATTTACTTTGAAAACCGGGAATTTCACTGCCCGTCAATGATTCGAAGAGTCCTACAGTCTACAGTAGCTCTAAGTTATCGATCTGATATATTGATCACAAGATAATTTAATATAGAAAATTTCCGTTATTGATTTTCTCGATCCTGTAAATAAATCAAATCGATAAGTCAGGGCTACTGCAGTACCCTTTGAATTATCGATGGGCAGTGTACCGGCACTCTAAAGGGCATTCTACAATGCGTTGCAAACAACGGTTGTCAGTTGAAATGTTTGTCACGGTAACCAATCAGAAGCATAAATAATACCATTTACGCTTCTAATTGATTGTCGCGACAAACGTTTCAACTGGCAACGGGGTGTTTGCAACTTATTGTAGAACGGCCTTAACCGTTCGCCGCTGCCTAGTCGTTTGGCGCGCCGCGTTTCATTTGTTAAAACAAATGATGCACAAATTCAGTTATTCTGTTAGACCATATCAGACGTCTTTACTTCTACGATCAGTCGGATGTACGAAAAATTTGGAACTCTTCTTAGGTTGACGTGAGTGATTTTGTGATTTATAGTGCAACAGTCGGAATGAAAAATACAGAGTGAATTTTCTGCGTCGTTTGTAGAAGTCTTCTATTCTTAGTAATTATTATCTGATTTTTCAGTAAAGAATCATGGTTAAGCCAAGCACTACAAAATATCAGCAATCCTATGAGCTTATTTACCCATGGGTAGCTCGGGATCCTAAAACTAGTACCAATGCATTATGTATTTGGTGCAAAACTGTAATTAATATTAGTTCGATGGGAAAAAGTGCTCTTCAAAGCCATGTGAAATCTCAAAAGCATAAAAGTATCATTGCAAGTTGTAAGAAAAATATCCCGATGGAAATGTATGTACGACGTAAAGAGAGTGAAAAAAGTACAAATAGCTCCTCCAATTTCATAGTTGCAGAATCAATACAAGGTACCCAAATCATTTACTTTTATTATATTTTATTTATACAACAAATATATAACAAAGTGTGCATTTATTGAAAATATCTTGCGTTTGCAAATAGTCACTATCATGACGGATTTAGAACGTGTACGTACGAATTTGCATACTAAATTTTTTAACAATAAAATCGACTAATTTAGTATTTTTAAATTTGATTCTAAAAATTTACGTTATTGAAGTGTTTAACTACACATGGTAACGTGATATGTACACTTTTAAAGTGCAAAGAAATAAGTAATCATCCGCGTAGAAAAATAATTATATACTGCAAAAGATATATTGTTATATTTTTTTAATCAATTTTTTAATTCTGGAAATTTATGCATTTTTCCTTCGTTAAGTCCTTTGTTTACGCCTGACTGAATTTTCAGACAGATAGATGAGATATTTTCGAGATCTATGGCATCAAAGGATTTTGCTAGGTTCAAACAAAGAAACTTGGATGTCTTAAAACCTATACTATTAGGTATTAAAGGTTTAATCTACTGAGAGCCTAAAAAAAGAAAAGTGGTCCGTGTCTCTCTTATTTCTGAAAAGCTCTGATTAAATCAGAAGCATAAAACACCAAGAAAAATATTATCTCATACAATCATTAAAAATCGATTTAGTTCTTGAAAATTAGTCGATTAATTATATTATTGAGAGTAAAAATATATATATTGACATAAGAGACCATAGGATAATTAGTTTCGTAAAAGTCCAAGTAGCTTTAAAATAAACTTAAAAACCTTCAAAAATAAAATTTAATAACTATACAATTTTTTTAAATATTTGCTATCGCTATATTTAATGCATCTTTTTATTCAGACAAATAATAACAAAAAATATATTTCATAATAATAAATATATTTAATTAATAATATGTTAAATTCATCGGCTGAATAATGTTTTTATTTTATTCATGCTTAACATCACGGGCAATATACAATGTAATATGAATAAATATACTAGAATATGTATAAAAAATTGTTTATATTATTTAAGAGCGGTACAATAAATTAAAAAATGCAATACATTACAACATTATTTTCATGAAAAAAGTAAACTTTTAAAATTTTTAGACTCTAAAGTAAAATGGTCACATAGATAATATACTTTTTAAATTATATTCCACAATAATATGCTGTGTTGTTACATTTTTAAATACAGTAATATATGTATATTCATATCGTTGTAAAACTCAGAATCATAAGTGAAATTTTAATAAAAAGCTTTAATTGAGAATTTGATAAAGCGATAATTTAATATAAGTATTCTGACATTTCCAGGATCTCATGGCATAGATCGTTCCATTAATGAAACCGCAACTGTGGAAAATGATGCCGGAATTATAGAAACTTCTACTTCAATAAGCAATACGGAAAAAAAATCTCTAAAATCATTTCTTCTCTCGGATGATGTGTCAAAAGCTGAGATTCTTTGGTGCCTTCGTACTGTTATGAGCCATTTACCTATTCGAACTTCTGCTGCATGCGTCGAAAACCTTCCCGTTATGTTTTCGGACAGTCAAATTGCTAAGAAAATGAAACTAGGAAGAACAAAAATTTCGTATAGTATTGTTTACGGTATCGCTCCATATTTTTATCGTGAGTTGTTTAACTTAATCCAAGAATGTAGTAACGTCGTGCTTGAATTTGATGAAAGTCTGAATACTATTTCTCAGAAGGCCCAAATGGACATTTACGTAAGATTCTGGCACCCAAACGACTCAATCGTGACAACGCGATATTTTGATTCTGTTTTTCTTCAGCGCACGCGTGCTATTGATTTGTATGAAGCTTTAAGTGAGTCTTTTGGATCGCAGAATCTCTGTAAAATTTTACAATTATCCATGGATGGGCCAAATGTAAATTTGAAAGTTTTAAATGATTTAAATAAGGAACTTACAGAATCCTTCGACGGTATGACGCTCTTGAATATTGGGAGCTGCGGACTACATGTTATTCACGGTGCGTTCAAAACTGGGATGAAAAAATCCAAGTGGGAAATTGTGTCCTTCTTGAGAGCTCTATATTATCCATTCAAAGATTCACCAACACGAAGAGTTCAATATACCGAATATACAAAGTCCAACATCTTTCCAAAAAAATTCTGTGCCATTAGATGGGTAGAGAACGTTGCAGTAGCCGAGAGAGCTATTGAAATTGTTCCTCATCTAATAACGTACGTCACCAAATCAAAAAAAGAAAAAACTGCTCCAAATTCGCAAAGTTTCAAGATTGTTTCCGATGCTTTAAGCGATGAACTTATCAGTCCGAAGCTTACTTTTTTCAGCGCAACAGCATCTTTGTTTGAACCATTTTTGCGTGAATTTCAGGCAGATGTACCTATGGCACCATTTTTGTACAACGAGTTACATACTCTTATGTACTCTTTGATGCTGCGGGTGGTAAAAAATGAAATACTAAACAGTACCTCTTACCTTAATAAAATAGATTTATTAGATAAGAATAATCTGATATCCGCAAAACAATTCGAAATGGACTTCGCGACGAAAGATGCGCTGAAGAAAGTGAAGAATATTTCAGAGTTACAAATTCTCCAACTGAAAGACGATATGCGTAATTGTATTATCGAGATTATTGTAAAACTTCGTGAACGTTCATCCTTAAAGTATAAGTTTACACAAGCCATTACATGCTTGGACCCTATAGTAGCTTTAAATTCGAAAATAGCCCTTAAAAGATTAATATCGTGTCTTGAAATTTTTGTTTCGAGCCGAAGAATGTCTGGCGTCAAAGCAGATCGTGTAAAACAAGAATATGTAAATCTTTGCGGCGAGCCTCTAGTTCAGGAAATTTTAAAATCTTTTGATAGAACTAAAAACCGTCTAGATAAAATGTGGATGGATGCAGTAAAATTATCGACGAAACCGTGTAATAATTTTGTAGATTTTGCTAAATTAATTTTGATTTTATCTCATGGAAATGCCACCGTTGAACGCGGTTTCTCCGTAAATGCTGAGTGCCTTGTTGAAAATCAACTTGACAAAAGTCTCATTGCTCAACGACGTATCTATGATACTGTTAAAAATGTAGGAGATATTGAAAGTATAAAAATTGATAAAAAACTTTTACACTCTATGCGCAATGCGCATTCGCATTATAAAGAGTTTATGGCAAAACAGCGTGAGGCGGAGAAACAGTTGAACATAGAGACATTAAGAAAACGTAAAGCTTTACTAGAAATAAAATAATTAGAGACCAAAAAAGTCAAATACCTAACTGAAGTATCAAAGATAACGGCAGAGATAGATAAATCAATTGCTGATTTAAAAAAATAAGATTGTAATTTTTATTATATTTTGTTGGTTCAAGTTTATATATGTATGTTTAAGTTTATATATATATAATATTAATCAAACGTTTTATTTAATTTTATTGATTTTATTTCACGGGATATTTTAAGAAATATTCGTTCTTGCATTTTACTTTTGTGATAAACAATTTATTATTGCTTAGATATAGATTCCATGCAATATTACGTTTATCTGACTGTTGTTCTGAATAAGAATGTATTTCATTATTTTTTGTTACAATTAAAGTAATGGAACTTCACGAGACTGATCATATTTTGTACGTATGTAATTTTTTAATATTAAGAACCTTGAAAACTGCTACTTTTGGACCTGGAAAACCGGGAGAAAAAACCGGGAATTTGAAAACGTTGGATCGCTGGCCACCCTGTAGAATGTCGCGAGCAATTGACGGGACTCCTTCAGCGAGGGGGCTTTCAATTACAGAAATGGGCGTCGAATTCGCCTGAACTGCTGCGCGATTTGGCAAAGCGTCAAACCGACATGGAGGATCACCTCCTTCAGCAGGACGAGACCCTTAAGGTACTCGGAATTTCGTGGCTTCCCCACGACGACATGTTTCGTTTTCAAGTGAACGCTTCGTTTACGGTCACTCCGACGAAGCGTTCAGTCCTGTCAGTTATTGCTCGATTATACGACCCCCTCGGCTGGGCCGCCCCCGTCGTCATTGTTGCAAAAATCCTTTTACAGGAATTATGGTTAACCCAATCCGATTGGGACACCCCTCTCCCTGACGAATTGCGTCAGCAGTGGGAGGCATATTATAATAATTTAAAGACACTAAATGGTATCCGGATCCCTCGTTGGACCGGTCGACGAGATAACGACGTCGCTTTTGAATTACACGGTTTCGCGGATGCCTCCAACCGAGCCTACGCCGCCGTTTACATTCGCATTCTTCACATGCAAGCAGACGTTCAAGTCTGTCTACTCGCCGCGAAAACTAAAGTCGCGCCTCTTAAAACTCTCAGCATACCGCGACTCGAACTGAACGCTATCGTATTGCTGAGTCGATTGATTAAATGGGTTCAGATGACCCTAAGCACGCCCTCCGCGTCAGTGTTCGGCTGGTCAGATTCGGCGGTCGCGCTAGCATGGCTACGCCAGCACCCCGCGAAGTGGCAAACGTTCGTAGCCGATCACGTGTCCGAGGTGCAACGTACCCTGCCGGAGGCGCGTTGGAATCATGTGTCTTCTAAAGACAACCCCGCTGACTGCGCCTCACGCGGCCTGTCGGCTGAAGAACTGTTCTCTCACCCCCTGTGGTGGACAGGGCCGAGGTGGCTCGCCCGGTCGTCTACGTCGTGGCCGACCGACGACCACTCTCTTTCTCTTGATAGTAGTACCAATCCACAGGTCTACGACGAAGCGCTCACGTCGTCCTCCACGTTAAAAGTGAGGACGAGTGGGAACTGATTCGCAAATTCTCAACGTGGACTCGATTAATCCGAGTCACGGCTTACGTACGACGCTTCATTTCTCGAATAAAGCGCCAGAAATCCGAGCGTACGTCACTCGTATTAACAGTACCTGAGCTTCGCGAAGCCGAAATGTTTTGGTTCCACTACGGGCAAAAATTAGCATTTGCGCCGGAAATTAGAGCATTAAGCACTAATTCTTCTCTTTCGCTATCCAGCCCTCTAAGGGCTTTGCATCCGTTCGTAGATGAGAACGCCTTACTCCGTCTTGGCGGGCGGTTGCAGAACGCCGCTCTCCGCTACGACGAGCAGCACCCGATAATACTTCCCAGGGATCGGATCGCCGAGCTGCTGATTCAGCACGCGCACAAAGCCACACTGCACGGTGGAACGCAGCTAGTCATCCGCACGCTGCGACAGCGGCACTGGATAATCGGGTGTCGTAAGGCCGTTAAATCTCATATTCGTGCGTGCGTTACGTGCACACGTTACTCCGCGCTGCCTTGCTCGCAACTCATGGGAGGGCCTCCCGCTTCTCGGG